GGGTCGTGACGCATCTGTGCGCGGATTATGGTCTTATAGATCATGCGGTGTATTCACATCAGAAGTTGTGTTAGGAGGAGTCGTTGCTGTGTGTGGGAGACTCGGTCAGGCCCTGGCCGTCCGGGAAGGAGCTCATGAACAATGGAGGGCGCTCAGGGTGAGATGAATGTCCATGAACGTATAACTTGCACATCTACAGTTGGTGTATTCTGACTTGCATCTGCTCTTCTTATATGCCTGCTCTTAATTGGCTTAATATTTGTGTTCAATAAAGCTGTAAAACGGAAAGAAAGTTTTACTGAAGGACTTCTTGCTTACTTTGGCATGTTTGTCATTTCAATTGGCTTTATGCACAGCTGCACTACTTCCCGAACTTCAGCCAGCTCCTGGCTGGCAGTTTGGATCAATCCAAACTGATTGATCTAGGTGTGCCTGACCTCAGTAGTCATAACAACAATAATCAGACACACCTGGATTAATCAGGTTTGTCCAATAATGAAAGACAGGAAACAATTGAGCTGGCTGAAGTTCGGGAAGTAGTGCAGTTGTGCATAAAGCCAATTGAAATGACAAACATAAGGTTGGTATTATGGAGAGCTTATGAGTAAAACAACAACAGTGTCAACCAACCTTTTCAAACATTTTCCTGCTTTCTTGCTGGTTTGTTCAAATACAACAACATATTTACAGTTTACACATCTTTCAGCCCCATAGACTTTTTAAACTGGTGGTCTTCAAAATGAATACTTTGATATGTCCACACTGTAAAAAGATAATTTCATGATTTGTAATCACAACATTTTTTTCTTTTGTCAAATCAACTTAGATAATTTATGTAGTTCAGATAACATAATATTTTGAGTTTCTGGTGATTAAATTAATCTCCTTAACTGTATTAACTAATTTTTCTATTTCAATGAACTTAACATTTTAAGGCGTCAGGTTACTTATTTTTTTTTATAAGTTAAACCAACAATATATTTTTACAGTGCAGTTAAGTGCAAAAAGCTGTGAAAGAGAGCTGAATTCAGGATCAGGATTTTTACCCATACATTTACGTCAAATAGTACAGTTTATGAAATGTAATACTTTTGAAAAGCGATTTTTTTTATTTTATTTTTTTTATTTATTTATTTATTTTTTTTAAATTTGTGAATCACCAGAAGATAGAATTGCGCTTCATAAGTGAATATAAGTGT